CCTGTTGCCAAAATATTTCTCCACAAAGATGACACACTCCTTGCTTGTATTTGAGTAATATCCCTAGCCTTACCGCCCCTATAATATTTATCAACAATGACTCTATTCCTCAGACTATGATCCTTACTCCCAAAACGATCCCACCACTTCCCTAGTAGAGCTATGCTTCTCCTTTCAAGACAGCCGTTTTAGATCTAACACATGGAATTAAATTTTGTCGGAGTCTTTCCCCTACTTGCAAAAATTCAACAGTTAGAAGATATAAATACTTACAAAATATAAGATTGTGACTTGGAAATTGATATGGAGAGTCTTGTAATTCATCTGGAGGAGGTAAGATGACAAAAGCACCATGAATGGTGGCACGAGACCAATCACTATGGGCATGCCACCATAAAGTTCCTATCTCATTGGATGTTATGACTTCATAAGTGAAATTCTTTCTCGGCTGAATCAGACATTGTGTCACATTTTCAGGACCATCAAACCATGGATTTCTCGGTTGCTTCAAGCCATGCCTAATACAAGAAACAAAAGTAGTTTTAATTAACATACAGATTTTTTTTTTTTAATGATTAATTGGAAGTACAAAACTATTTATTTCATGATTTGGACAGCATACAAGAGGATGGTGATACCATAAGCCCCGTTGTTCTGGACATGAATAAGCACTGTCTGTCCTCTTTGAACCCGAATCTCTGGTCCAGGATACATGCCATTTACAGTCAAGATGCTTCTGGTTTCGCAAAATTTGGTAAAATTTGCCTGCTCCACCTGCATTCAGTCCAATTCTCACAAAGATGATTATTCAAAACAACTCACGATTAATTCTTAATAAAACAAGAAAATTGAGACGAGACACGAGAAAATATTTCATAAATGCCTGTACGTACTATATTCAGGGTTTGACACTCAGAAGGGTCGAAGGGAAATATATATAAGCTCATATATTCATTGTTTGATGACACTTTCTTTTTTCTTGAGAGTAGAGCGAAGAAAATTAATTAATGAAAAATTTGTATGGGGAAATTAAATTGGGCATGAAGGCTAACGTAAAGGTGCAGAATTATAAGTTTTGCGATGCCTAAGGCTTCTCATGTATAGGGCTAAATCTATTGCTTTAGTAAGGGTTTGAATCATTTGTCCAAAAAAAAAAAAGCTATAGGGAAGGAGATGAAGCAAACTAACAGTACTTACGACTAATTTGTATTCAACTGGAGGCAGAATAGGCGTAGTTGGAGCCTGAGCAATGGGAGGCATAGAGATTGGTCCAGACTGAGCTCAAGCGACCGGAAACCGGCCATTGAGGAATGAAAAGGCTAAAAAAGTTAAGATAAAGGTGAGACGACCCATCTTCCATGAACGGGACATGAGTATATACTACCTGTGTTATCAGGTCGCCTTCTTGCTGCTTGTACAATTTATGGAGTATATCCTCTTTTGGGGTTATATAAAGATGGAGAATGCACAGTGATGTGAAAAGGAGCTTCATTATTTAATGGATATTTAAGTTGTTTATTACAGTGATTAGCTGTGTATTTTTGTACTGGTTCGGGGTGTCACAATGACTAAGCAATATTTAAGGTGCTAGGGTGTGAGAGTGGGGGGGGTGGGGGGCGTGGTGGCAACATAAACTAATTTGAAATTCCACTTGTCTTGACTAAATTGTTTCTTTTGAAATCTAAACTTATCTTCAAGCTTCGTGTTTTGCATTGAAGAATCATGGTGTCTTTATCTAGGCTTCAATTTTGGCCATTTCTCAATTTTTAAGCTTAGTGCACAAGTGAATCATGTTTTTGGTTTTAATAGTTCGTCTCTAAGTTTTAGTGCTTAGATATAGTTAATTGAGAATTTGACTTTTATCAACTACTTGAAAAAATTTATCATTTTTTCATAATTTCCCATGTTTCAAAAAAAGAAAAAAAAAAAAACTTGATGCGCAAGTTAGAGAAAAAATTTTGTGGTAATAGTTGGATAAAGATATTAACTCATTAAGAACTTGATTTGATTACATAATAAGAGTGCTTAAGG